ATTGAAAAAGGCATCCTGCCGAACAATTACAGTCGTTAGTTGCTAGGCAACATTACCCCCCCATGATACTAACTTTGCAAGTGTATAAAATAAACACCCCTACTGTTGAAGTCAGTCCTCCTGCTCATCAGGCAAGAAGTAACTCCACCTGACCCCAGCTCTTGTCTCTTGTCTTTATTTTTCTCATACCCACCACCATTTCTCTCTGGGGTACAAGGAGAGACCAGGGATGCTCCCTACAGAAGACTTTGTTGTTGCTATTTTTTGGTTCTGGAATCGAACTCAGAATCTTGTGCTTGCCAGGCAGGCGCTTGTGTCGCTAAGCTACAGCCCCAGCCCCAGGCACTGTAATTTTGCAGCTGCTGCTAAAGCAATGTTTCTACAGCTCAGCTCTGATCTTACCAAGAATAGTAAATGGATCCGGCGTCTAAAGTGGCGCCTCAGCACTGTCCCGCTTTTGGTGGAAATGAAGTCTCAGGACCCAAAAGCGCTAGGGAAAGGCATGCAGGCCGCTGCCCCTCTCTACCCACCCGGAATCCTGAGCGGGCAGGTGAGGGCTGAGCCTGTATGGGGGACTCCCCAGGAAAGTCTGGGGAGTGTCTGGGGACCTCCTGGGGCTCTGTTCCTCAATCCCACCTTACGGCCTTCATGCTCCGGCCTCAGTGGCCTTGGCAGCCTCCCTTGCCCCTGCTCCCTTCACTCAACCTGGCTTTTGGCCCATGCCTCCCTCCACCTTGCTCTGAAGAGGTACAAAACCTCTTCAGAAGTCTGCTCTGCGCATGCCTATAATCCCAGCACTCGGGAGGCTGAGGCAGGAGGAACGTTGCAAGTTTGAGACCAGCCTGGGCTACAAAGTGAGCTCAAGGCCAGCCTGAACTGCATAGCGAGACCCTGTCTCTAAAGGACAAAAAAAAAAAAAGGGGCTGGGTATTTAGCTCAGCGGCACAGCGCCTCCCTGGCAAGCGCAAGGTCGTGAGTTCGATTCTGGTACCGGAAAAAAAAAAATGACGGAACGAGGGGAAGTTGGAAAAGACCGGAGATGAGGAGCGGGGTGACAAGAGGGGCTGGGCAGGATGGGTGAAGAAGGGTGGGGGCAAAGGAGGCCAGAAATCTTTGCTGAATGCCTGCTATCTCTCAGGTGCGGTGCCTTCGTGCTGTAGCATCACTTACTTAAGGTCAAAACACCCTAAGTATGGTGATGCTAGGCACTGTGCTACAAGCTGTAGGTGGATTTTTCTCATTTAACCTACCCGATGATTCTATATTATTTCACTTTATTTTATTTTATTTTTGGTCTTTTTGAGACAGGGTCTCGCTGTGCAGTTCAGGCTGGCCTTGAGCTCACTCTGTAGTCCAGGCTGGCCTCAGCCTCCCAAGTGCTGGGCTTACAGGCCTGCGCCACCACGCCTGGCTCTCATTTTATTATTTTGAGACAGGTTCTCACTATGTACTCCAGACTGGCCTTGAACTCGCTGCCATCCTCCTGCCTCAGCCTCCCGAGTGCTTGGACTAGAGGTGTGCGCCACCACGCCCGCCTGACCCCATTTTACAGAGGAGGAAATGTACTGGGTGAAATGTTTGGTCTGAAATAGCAGAGCTCGGATAGTAACTCTAGTTGGATCTAAACCCAGAAAGGAAAAAAGGGAGGAGAAAGGTGAGGCGGGAGTGGGGTGTGTGTGGGTGATTCGGTTGTGTTGGAGAACCCCAGGCGAGGACAGATAAGATTAGGACAGGTGCGGAATTTTCCAGCGGTCTAGCAGAGCCCTAATTTCAAGGCTGCGAACCG